CAGTCCAGTTTTTTTCTTATCCTCAAATTCTATGGAAAATAAATCCACACATTTTGCCCCATACTGCTGTCCTGCCTTTCCTTAGCCCTCTTTTCCAAATTCTTCATAGGGTTTAGCCTCTGGACTCTTTACCATATTTGTTGTTCTTTTTTATTGCCTCCAGTTCCTCAGCATTCTTTTTGTATCATGGCAATTAGAACTGCAGTATTCCAGATGCAATCTGACTGGTGCAGCATATAGTAGTACTATTACTTCTCATGATCTTGACATTATATGTCTATTGACACAGCCAAAAAGTGCATTGACTCTTTTGGCAGCTGTGCCGTATTGCTTAACATGTAATTTACTGAAACATCCAGATCCTTCTTATTGCTAAGCTAAATGCAGAACTTAACATTTGTTATCACTCAACACTTTTGGAGGGGGTTCAATGTTCAAATTTTTCAAGGTCCTTTTGAATCTTTTGGCTGTCTTTTGTGGTGTTAACAATCTCTCCCAGCTTTGTTTCATTGGTAAGTTTCGTGAGCATTCTTTCTATTCTTTCATCTAAATAATTTATGAAAATGTCAAAGAGTATTGGGCCCAGAAGAGAACCCTGGGATGTCTGCATACCTCTCTTTCAGGGAACATAGATCCATTAAGGACCACATGTTGGCTACAATCATTTGGCCAATTGCAAATGCATTTAATAGTGAGACCATCCATCTCATATGATTCCAGTTTATCAAGAAGGAGATAATCTAGGAAAGATTATGAAGAATCAGATGGGATTTCTCTACTGATCCAAAAACGTTTAGATCAATATTCTAGTAGTATTGATGAATCGGGGAGCAACAGTCCTGATTTGAACTTGAAAGAAGTCAATAGAATAGTTCTATGCTCCTGATGCCCATTACTTGAGTTTTTTATAGCAGCAAATTTTGTGAAATAACATATATGTATATATTTGTGCAAAGCAATGTACAAGAAGTGAAATTGTATAAGATCATAATGTTTACAGCTCAGGAAGACTCTCTGTTCCATAGATATTTGCTCATATTATTTCTATGCCTTATCAATATTTCTATTTGGGTTGAAAAAATCTGCATATCCATCTATTTCTTGTATAATTTTGTAATAGGATATATTTTAACCAACAAAGGTTGTATGATAATAGAATTTTACTTTATTCCAGGTTACTTTTTTCTGCTTTTATGAAAAAAAATAGTTTTCAGGAAATAGAGCATTCATGCATTAAATTGCACACTCCATTGATTAATATGCATTGATTTGGGAATTGATTTTATACTTATTTTCCGCCACTCCCCAATTACCTGTGAATTAGGATTAAGATTGATTTTAGTTTTGCTGACAAAAATAAAAGCCCTTGAGAACAGGAGAATGGATGAAAATGGAAATGGCGTCAGGGCAAATTAATCTGAAGATAACTGTCACCCCTTCAAGAGAAGCTGTTTTTTCTAGTTTAGTTTTTTTTCATTATTAACACAGGATTTGACTCTACTCTTTCTTTCTGTCCAGTTGACTCCTGCCTTTTCACCATCCAGTTCTGTGCTCCCTTCCCCCAACCCCCAAAAATCAATTCTTTTCCTAGTACAGTTCTTTTCCCTTCAGTCTTATTTTCATGCTGGATTTGGACTAAATTTATTATTTTGATTCTTTTTGCTGGAAAGAGAGAAGCATGTGTGTGTTATATGTGAAAATATGAAATGTGGAATCAATTTTCTATATGAGGTTATTCTGTTAATATAAATTTATCATTTTGCCTCATCTTAACTTTTCTGAACTGTAGATTTTGACACACATGCCATATGTACATAAGGCTATCAGATGCACCCACGTATTCAGCACAAATAATCTTCAGGGCTGCTTTAGCTGAAATTCTCAATCCTAGCTGACTAGATAGAGTAGTTGGAAACGTAAAGCACTTCCTAGATTATCTGAAGTTCAGGTTCCTCTTCCTTTCAGGTAGTTACGGTACACAATACTGCATATATGGAGAAATAACTTGGAAGTTTCTCTAATTACTTATTCTACATCTAAAGTTTGAGTTCCAAGAGCAGCTTTGAGGAAGGAGAAAAGAAATTGATATAGGTACGTTGAATAAATAATGGATTTTACATATATAAAATCTGTGTGTGTGTGTGTACACATGGGGGGAAGGCAAAGAGAGGTAGGGAGAGAGAGATGGAAAGTATGTAGTGTACATTTGTGCATTTGTATTTTCTTTTTCACTTTTTCTTCAATAGTACAATTGTTAAAAGTCCCACTTAAAAATAACAGAAAATTACCATAGTCCATCATTTTGTAGAACAACTTAGTAATAAAAAGAATTCCTTGGTGATGTACAATAAAACTGTAAGATCTTGTGGAACAAGATATTTTCACCATGAATACCAATTGTACACTAATGTGCATATATTTGTTACCAGTATCTTCATACATACATGCATACACATATATACAAATACACACAGAGAGAAATAAATCAAAAACTGTAAAACTGTAAAGTTCTTTAATTTGCTAGTGTCTCTTCTTAGTTTATAATCAGCTGCTTATACATAGTAAATATGCATGCTATTTAACCTGATGGCCTCAATATACTGTAATGTTGATACGGCTCCCTAATGCCAAACTCCTTTAAAAGTGTGTAAGTATCACAATAAATTTTAAACTTTATAAAACAGCATTTTGAATTGAATAAAATAGTTAAGATGTACTTGGAATCCAGTTAAGGGTTTCAAAGTGGTTCTTGTAAAAGATCCTTGCAAACTGAAAAGCATGAACCAAAGCATGAATACAGAAAATTAAATTAGGTAGGTTTTGTTTGGCTGGTGGCCTTGCGATTTTCCTATTTCTGAAGACAGCTGTGTTGTTGTATTACCAATGAATAGAGCAAAATCAATGCAAATTCTTACAATTCAGTATTTGGAAGTGCAATTATGTCTGTATCACTTGCACATTTTCTGTATCAAGTTTAATAAGCAAGTTGCTTGGTACAGCAGTTCATGTTCTTATTTGTTTGAATAAAGGGACCTAAAAGAAAAAAGTATTAGATACACACTTTAAGTAAGGTGTAAATGGTAGCTGTGTAGGAGTGGGTTGTTATAAATAGGAGAAAAGCTGTATCTTTTAGAAAAATAGCTCAACAAAATGTAGCACTAGATGGGGCCACTTTGAGAGTTCCTTATTCTCAGATCAGAGCATTGATCCTGTCAACCTATTGCTTTCTGCTCACCGATCCTTCACTTAATTTAACTGGGCACATCTAATTCTAGATATAAGGAATCTCTTTGCAAAGTTTCCTTGGGGTACTGCCTCTTAAATAAATTGTTACGGTAGATAAGTATGAATCTGGGTTGGGAAGAAACTTCAGTTATTCCCCACAATATCCTTTGCATAGCATAGCTTCCGAACAACGTGGAAAGTAAAAATGGCCAACTCTTAGCTACATAGTACTTTTTATAGGGGTGCAGAACAGGTGTCCTGGCTGGATCTTGCAGGGGTAATGTTATCTCAGGTGATATTCAAGAAAGCAGTATGGTAATATAAATCCTAGCTTTGTCTACTGTTAAGAGAAAACACAAGATTTAAAGCAGAAGAGAACTTCCCTTTTCTCTTTCTGTAGCACAGGGTCCAAAGGTGATTTATATTCATTTCTTGGACAGACAGGTGTAGTTGAATCACAGTCATAAAAGGAGTGAATCTCCAAAGCAGAATGAAAAAGGAGATTGACAGGACTAAGATGCTTTCTCCTGAAGGAGCAATAGATGCTAATAGAGCATTGACAGATACAGAGCACCCTAGGGCAGCATCTCTCAACCTTGGCACTCAACCCCTAAGAAGTAGGCACTTCAACTCCCAGAATAATTCCCCAACCACATATCTTTAAATGGCCAAGGTTGAGAAACACTGCTCTAGGACAGGGTTTTCCAATATGAAAATGTTGTTCTTGGGATTGCAGTATATGAGAGACTAAAGGCAAAAAAAAAAGTTCACAGCTGGTTTTTCCTCACTTCAGGAGTTGTGGGAATTGTTTCTAACTAGCAGGTCCTATGGCCTGAAAGAGTTGGAAGGACCTTATTGTAGGTATTGTGCTTGGAAAAAGGTCATAAATTCAGGCAAAATGTTATAAAAACAACTTTTTAGGAAAAGAAAAAAGAACATTCTCTTTTTTAAATCCTACAATATTAATCTGGTATACTCACAGTTGGGTTTTTTATTTTCCCTTTTTGTTAGATATCTTTTGGGTGGAGTGGCAAGGGTTATTTCAACAGCAGTCTTCTTTTGCCAAGCAAGTACTGAAATTTTTGTGAGAGCCTTTCTATCCAGACGGTCACAACATAGGACCAAACCGATTTTTCTCAAAGAGGCCACTGTTGGACCTTCATTTGTAGATGATCCAGAAGGTCTTCTTTCTTCCATTGTGCACCTTTGAACCTTATGCTAATCAACTGTAATCAGTAAAAACCGTTAAATGCTGTTTTTACAACCTTTTACTTTGTTTTACTTCTTTCCTATTTGAATCTGTAATCCAACAATAATGCACTACTGATAGCGTTTCCCATGCCATGAAGGTATTTCAAGCCCACTTTGGTTTTTTTCCATGACCAGATTTTCTATATATGCCAATTGACGTATATTCAATGTGTTAGTCCAAAGAAACAGGGTCCCTGATTTGGAGCGATTCTTAAGTATTTTCAGCCCAAGAGTTTATAATGGGTGAGCATCTGATATACAAAAGTTTTCTTTCCTGGGTATTTGAATGTATTTATGCCCTTCCTGGGTATTTGAATTCCTTTCTTTTCTGACACTAAATGCAGAGAGAGAGGAGACAAATGATTGGCAGGGCAGGGGAAACCATTGTGATATAAGTAATAGGCTGAAGGCTTTATTCTTTGATTGAGACACAATCAAGACAAATGCAACACATAACAAACATGTGCAATACTTTTTTTAAAAAAAATACTCAATTTTTATAGTGTTTAACCGTTAACGTACTATTATTTACAAACAATTCCTTTGACAAGGAAGCTAGTTGTCATCATCCCATAATTAATGAAGTAGGCAACACAGTCATTGTTTAAATGTATACTAACCCTCCGCCCCCTTTCAAATGATTTTTAAACTTAGGTGAGATACAGACTACAATTAAAAAGTTATCTTATTTTTAACAGTATCTTTAATCTTCAAGGAGTCTTTTTTTAAAAGCATATTTAATAAATAAAAGAAAATGCAGTCAAGACTGAGATACAGTTTTGACCCTCTTGAATTGATTAAATGAACAGCAGGCCTTCAGCTCCTAGAAGAACTCCTACAAGATCAGTAATTCTAGCAATGTGAACTCATCCTAACTCTTGTTTGTAATTATGTAATTATAAACAAAAGCATCCTAATTTATTCCCCTCATGCTACACAAACACCCCCCAAAAAACTATTGACAGCATAATAAAGTTTTAATGCATACATCCAATTCTGAAATTTGCAAACATAAAGATAATTTATCAAGCCAAGAGTTTTCTAAAAAAGTATTTAAATAAATTGGCTTTAAAACCACTTATAGAATAATGCTGAAATACAATCTTCATTTCTCCAAACGTTCCCCAAATCTAAGAACAGCTTCATAAATTAAGAATATCATCATATTTGTAGGAAATGCACGAAGTGAGTTTAGTCCAAGGCCTTTAAAAAGAACTCTTACTCCTTCTTCCCTTATGCTGTCTCTGACACAGTGCACTAGTCCAGTATATTTACGCTGTCCATCACCATCTGCTTGCATTCGGGCTTTAATGACATCCATTGGGGTTGCTGTACCCCAAGCAAGAACACCAGCACAGCCTCCAGATAGAAGCACAGCCCAAAGGTCTGTAAACATAAGTATTAATATTGTAACTTGTCATTAATACTCCAAAATTATTAAAAATCCAAATGTTGGTAAAAGAAATATCCCAAACATTCTATTAACTATATAAAGTACCTCAAAGAAAGCCATTTTCCCCACCTTATCCTAGGAAGGTTTCTTATATTGGCTGAAAATAAAGGAATGAAGGGTGACAAGTTTTTATGGTTTTGTTTTTAACTTCTTTTTTGAGAGAGGATCATCTTAAACTCAGGGTCATCTTCCTTTGGGTAAACAAAGCATTATGTAAATTAATATAATCCTCATAAAATATCACTTCAAGGCAAAACATGAGCCCCTGTGTCTTTTTCCCAAGCAAAGGGAAGACCTTCAATCCGCATTCTCAAATCAAACTCCATCTAACACACACACATGTATACACAGAGGAATTACGAAATGTGTGACTACAGAATTTGATGATAGTAGCCTGATATGGCTGTCAAAAAAAATTAAACAAATTCATGGAGAGAATCAAACATTTGTCAAGGGCATCTGGCTGGCCTGTTTGGGTCCTGGATATTGGGACAGACCATATAAATAACCACACTTAAACACATTCTAGAGCAAGGGTCCCCAAACTTGGCAACTTTAAAACTTGTGGACTTCAATTCTTCAAGTCCACAAGTCTTAAAGTTGCCAAGTTTGGAGACCTCTGTTCTAGAGTGACCACTTATAACCAGATCTGAACATTAAGAAGGATTTGAAATACCTTGCTGCATTGACATAACCCTTTGTACCATGTATCATATTAAGCCCCCCCCCCCAAAAAAACCCCTCTGTAAGTGAATGATTAGATAAAAGGGCATAGCTAAAATAAAAATGTCATAATGTCTCTTTGACCTGCCTTCCTTATTTCATGCCCAAGATGCCTTACATTCGTATTGTGAAACACAAGATGACACATTCAAGAAGTTCTCTAATTCTATTAATCATCATGCTTCCCTCTTTTCAAGTATGCGACAGTAGTTTTCCTCCCTCTTCAAATACTACCTACATTTGACTCAGATGTTTGCTGAAAAATTCCAAATAAGGTTCACTGTCTTCATCTCATTTTGATTTTTATGATTTTTCTGTTAAGCCAAACTACAGCAGTATGGGGCAAATTTGAGTAATCTGTTTACAATGTTAGTTCAAACATAGCGTGAGAGCCAGATTATCGAATTGGAGTGGGGCGTTCCCTGCAAGGTAACATACTTCAGTGAGGGGAGAAACTGGTATTTTCCTCAAGACTCAAGCTGTTATAGTTTTACCTTAAATAAAACTTTATTACAGTTTTGTAATCTGCTATAAGAAGTTGTTAGCCAGAGTATTAGCCTTTCCTCAGTGTTTTGGGATTGCTGGCTGTAAATTCTGGTAATTGGTCATTTGGAGGGCAACAGGTAGGAAGAGGGTGGGCTATAATATTTATCTATTTGTTCGTTTATTTGTTTGTTTATAAGCACCCAGAATGATCCTGCAACCCTACTAGTAAAAGTAACAATAGTGGGAAGCAATCCGAGTCCACACCTTCACCATGCAATTTTAAACACAACTCTTAAATTATTATTTATTATTCTTTTGACTGTTGATTGTATTGCTCAAGCAAGCAAGGGTTTTGAACCAAAAGAAAACCCTTAAGGCAAGCAAAAAAGAAATCTTAACTCTATTTCCTAATATAATGAATAATCATTTACTATGCTTCATACTCAGAAAAGCTGATATAGTCCTATATTCCTTATAGCTTCCTTTCACTTCCATAGATGAGAGCTTCTCTGCATAGTTATAAACAAATCCATCTTTTATAGTAGACTACTCTCTCCTTAAGACCTAAAATGATTTTGACAATCACCCCCAGAATTAAGGAGAGGGCAATGGGGGCTGCTGCCTCAAGATATTATTATTATTTTACTTTTTCCACCCCTTCTTTCCTCATTTATTGAGCACATACATATCTTTCGCCCCATTCCCTTTCCAGGTAAATAATATTAGGCAAAAAAAAGCTAAACCAAGTTTATATCAACACCATTTAATAAACCCCTTCAAACTTTTCTACGTAAATCATCCATGCTTCAACCATATCTATATATCATTTCATACAGTTTCCCTTTGTTCTCACCAGTAAAAACGAAAGGAAAAAATTCACAATTTGAAAAATCCTTGCATAATTCTTGCTGTTTCAGTAACAGGTAGATATGAAAACTTAAAGACATATATCAATTTTTATAATAAATTATGAACTTTTGCAAAACATTTGCATATTTAATATTTTAAATGCACAGCATTAGTTACTATAAATTCAAGAAAACAAAAGTTTTTTAAAAATCCTTTTATGCAGGAAGAGCTGATGAATGACATCAGAGAACACAGCCTCTGTCAACCAGTTTCATAAGAGTTCAAACAAAATTTTGTAAAAAGCACTTTAACACTGTTACACAACCTGTGTAACATATGAAGAAAGGTTGCAGGATTTAGGTTTGGCTAATCTAGAGAAAAGAAGTATCCCATCCCACCCCTGAAAGGACCTAATGGTAAAGACTGCAATAATGACACTATTAAAGCCAACCTCTTTAGCACATTCTTTGGCTCAGTATTTGTAAACAACAATGGATCATGCCCAGTATTTCCTAGTCGAACCATAGACGACTACAATGATCCAATACATATCGATTTCACAGAAGACAATGTTGAAAAAGCACTATGCAATCTAAAACCATCTCTCTCTGTTGGACCGGATGGAATATGTGCCTACTTCTTTAAAAAGCTATCCACTGCCATAGCCGAACCTCTAAGCATAATCTTTGAAAAATCTTTCAGGACCAGCTCCTTGACAAACCTATGGTCTCAAGCCATGGTCATCCCTATCTTCAAAAAGGGAGACCCCAGCCTAGTTGAAAATTACAGAACAATCTCTTTATGCTCCGTCACCTGTAAAGTCATGGAATCAATTATTAACCAATCCATTATCCTCCACTTAGAGAGACAAACAACCTACTCTCTAATAAACAATTTGGTTTCAGAAAAAAACTATCCTGTAATCTGCAACTCTTACACTGCAGAAACATATGGACTACACAACTCAATCAGGGCAAAGCAATAGACGCAATCTACATAGACTTCTGTAAAACCTTTGATTCAGTGGTACATGGCAAACTACTTCTAAAACTAAAATCTGATGGTATCTCTGGACACCTGCACAACTGGATAGAAGCATTCCTGTCAAACAGACAACAAATGGTCAAATTTGGGAATGTCCTATCAAATTCTGTATCTGTCAACAGTGGTGTCTCCCAGGGCACTTGCTCTAGGACCAGCTCTCTTCATAGTCTATATAAATGATCTCTGTGATCATATTAAGAGCAACTGTGTTCTCTTCGCTGATGATGTAAAGCTATTCAACACCACAGACAGTACTGCTACCCTTCAAAAAGACCTTGACTATGTATCAGAAAGGTCAAACAAATAGCAACTTCAAATCTCAACAAATAAATGATCTGTCTTACATATTGGCAAAAAAAATCAGAAAATAAAATACAAGCTGAATAGTCAAGACCTTGTTGATGATCCAAACTCCGTCAAGGACCTTGGAGTTCTCATCTCTAATGATCTAAGTGCTAGAGCCCACTGTAACTACATAGCCAAAAAGGCATTAAGAGTTGTTAACCTAATTTTACATAGCTTTTTCTCTGGTAATGTCACACTACTAACGAGAGCAAACAAAACATTTGCTAGACTAATACTTGAATACAGCTCATCAGTCTGGAACCTGCATTACGTATCTGATATTAACACAGTTGAGAAAGTCCAGAAATATTTCACAAGAAAAGTTCTCCACTCCTCTACTCGTTGCAGAATACCTTATACTACCAGACTTGAAATTCTAGACCTAGAAAACCTAGAACTACACCGCCTTCGGTCCAATAAGTATAGTATATAAAATCATACATTGCAATGTCCTACCTGTCAATGAATACTTCAGCTTCAACCATAACAATACAAGAGCACACAATAGATACAAACTCAAGGTTAATCACACCAAACTTGATTGCAAGAAATATGACTTCAGCAGCAAAGTGGTCAATGTCTGGAATATTCTACCTGACTCTGTGGTTTCTTCCCTAAACCTCAAAAACTTTAACCTGTTTACTGTTTAGACTGTCTACTATTGACGTCACCCATTTCCTAAGAGGTCTGTAAGGAGCATGCATAAGTGCACCAACGTGCCTACCGTCCCTGTCCTATTGTTTCTTTTTTATTTTCTTATATGTGTCCATTTCATGTATCCATAACTATGTTTATACTTATACCTGTTATCTTATAATTGCTTGACAAAATAAATAAATAAATAAAAATAAAGTACTGGGGGGGACATGATAGTATTATTCCAATACATGAGAAGCTGCCACAAAGAGGAGGGGGTCAATTTATTTTCCAAAGCACCAAAAGGCAGGACAAGAAACAATGGATGAAAACCAAACAAGCAGAGAAGCAAGCTGGAATTAAGGAGAAACTTCCTAACAGTGATGACAATTAACCAGTGGAACAGCTTTGCCTTCATCACTGGAGGTTTTTAGGAAGAAACTGGACAGTCACTAGAAGACCTCCAAGGTCCCTTTTGGTTCTGTTCTGATTCTGAAGTTCTCCAATAGACATTCTGAGAAAGTGCTTTGTTTAACTCTATGGAAGTAGGGTGTGGGAACTTGCAGTATCTGGGATCAGGCACAGTAACATCCTACACCTCTATCAAATCTTCCTTAGTACAAAAATGTGTAGTTGTGTAAACACTGGCAGAGATCTGAGGGAAGCCAGCCGGTATTCAAAAGATGAACATATTCTCCCTCCAGTATCTTTAATGATGCTTTAAAATGTTTGTATACGCAGGGCGACAAAGAAAAATGCAAATTGGAAATGAATATATATCAAGTTATTATGACACAAACAGGCAAGACAGACATCTAAAGCTTCTGAAACAAACGATTCCCATTTCATGCACATACCTGGTTTGTTTTTACCAGTTGGAGTAAGCCAATCACACAGGACAGAGTAGGTGAGAAAATACGCTCCACATGAATGACAATCCCTGCCCAATAGAGCCAAAGATCCTTTGTATAGACCTGCAAGGCCTTCTTCTTTGACTATTGTCCTCAGACAATGCAAGGAACCTTGATACTTAGGTTGGGAGTCAAAGGGACGAGCTGATCCTATCAAGTAATATGGGTCTTTCTGGATCTGTAATCTTACTTTGGCTATTTCTGCAGGTGATATTAGCACAACCTAGAACATATAATTAAGAGTTAGAGTTAGAATGTAGATTAGAGTTAGGATCATCATGGGGTTGAGACCTTATTATCTTCCTACTATTCTGCCTGTCCTGTACAAATACTGTACAGAGGCAGATAGATAAACTCCACAAAGCATCCACACAAAGTCTTTTTTATTGGTTCATCAGGCATCCTGTCAATTCACATTTATGATGAGGTTCTTCTTAATGTCCAATCCTTTGCATATCTGAATTGTGGTGTAGGAAGATAATAAAGTCTCAACCCCATGATGATTGAAGAAGCTTCATAGTAATGTCTTCAGGCAAGAGTGAGGGAGACCTCCCCCAACCCAACAAGGATCAATTTAGTGGCCAATCAGGATTACAGATGTGATCACATGACATGGACTATATTTCCCAGGATACTTTAACTACATTTACCATGATGCATTCCCTTAAGGGGACAGCTCACAATTCCTAACTAATTATCCCAAATCCCATTAACTCTAAACTGTCTGGACAGTTCATCTATTAGAATCACATCTTGCTGCCCAGAACCTGGAAGACCCTCGCTCAACTTCATGTATCATATCTGATCCTTTAACTAAAATATATTCCTATATTTTCCAGTCATGTTTGCATTTTGCATATCTGCCCTGAAATTTTTCTGTAACAGTCTAGAGGAATAGAGAACATTTTAGCAGCAGGAAAGGGCTGCTTAATATTTCAGGGTGTGTGTGAGAGGTTCAAAATGAAAAAGTTGGATCATATATCTGAGAAGGGCAAGAATTTTTCTGATTTATTTTAGTTAAAGGGAAGTTAACATATGTATTTTAGGCAGTGGTGGGATTCAAAAAATTTTACTACCAGTTCTGTGGGTGTAGCTTGGTGGGTGTGACTTGGTGGGCATGGGAGGGGAAGGTTACTGCAAAATCCCATTCCCTCCCCACCCCACTAACCTGCTTTCCATTTCCGTTCTCCTGTGCAGGGCAACAAAAGAAGACCCAGCCAATCAGCTGGGACTCAGGAAGCAGAGAATAGATGGAGGCGGGCCAGTCAAAGGTGGTATTTGCTGGTTCTCTAAACTACTCTAAATTTATGCTGTTGGTTCTCCAAAACTGGTCAGAACCTGTTGAATACCACCTCTGATTTAGAGTTTGGAATGTAGCTTTCGTATTTTCTCTACATCTAAATAGTTGGAAACTGCAGAACTTGGGACCACAGATGGCCCACCTCATTTCTAAAGACTTGAAGGTAAATAGAAGATGCTGACAGATCCTGTTCCCTCAGCCCACAAATAGATTTACCCACATTATTTTATTTTATTTTAACCTACCCGGACAGCTCCAGTAACACAACCTGCAAAAGATATATCCACTTTTGATGGTTTTCTGTCTGCAGAGCCATATCGTAATCTACAGATACCATAAAGGAAGTTTTTGTAGATTCCAAATGAAAATGATGAGATCAGTGATGTCATTAAAATCGTTATTGAAATGCCTTTGAAGAAACCTGGCACCTGAATGGAACAGAAAAGTGAGCAAAATGCCTTTTTAGAATTGAAGAATAAAAAGCATAAGATTTGTTGTAAGGAACTAATAGATTATAGGCAGGTCTGTTAAACTGGTGGTCCATGGACCGGATGTGTCATGTGCAGGCCACGCCTACCCCAGCTCAACAAAGGCAAAAAACATTGTGATACATCATGTGACATGATTGAATTTGACACCCATGTGGCCCAATGGTTTGAGTTTTTGTTGCTAGGTTAAAAAAAAAAGCTGTAGGCATAATTAATTATATTATTTTATTTCCACCTTTATTGTTTTTATAAATTACTTAAGACAGCGAACACACCCAATAGTCCTTCTCCTCCTATTTTCCCCACAACAACCTGTGTTATGAGTTGGTTCTGAAAGAGAATAACTCGCCCAAAGTCACTCAGCTGGCTAAACAGAAAGTCACAAAAAACAGCCAGGTAAAATATTTCCTGTTTTAGTGCAATGCCACATATTATCTTCTTTCTATGTAGCTACATATTACACTGTAAAAAAAATTACAGGTAATAAATCTGAGGTCCTTATACAATTTCTACAATGCTTCATCATTGGCCATTCTGGCTTCAGTTGATGGAAACTGAAGTCAAAAGGGTTTTAGAGGAAAGATTCTTACACCTGGCATGTGTTCAGCTTGTAAAATAAATTTGCTAAACAAAAAAAAAAAACTAAATTATTTGGAACAGCATGCAAATCTTAATATTCTCTTCTGAATATTGTTAGGCTCTTTAAGAGATAATAAAGCAAAAAAATGATTTTTTAAAAATCAGGATAGTTAATTATTCTCAGTTATACATACCCTTTCAGTTCTATATATCTCTCTGATACAGTGCGATATTCCACGATAGTGTGCTTCTGTCTGAATTCTCACCTACCAAAGCAAGGGGAAGCAATCCACTTTACACATCAAATGTATAAACGGAAGTACCACAATTGGGCATTTTATGAAACATACATTTTGTTTATAAGCAATAAGGACAAGGACATTATATTAGTTAAAAGTGCAGAAAATTTGTTTTTGAAGAAGTATAGTGGAGATCTATAGCTCAATCAGTATTTATGCAACACACCAAATCAGCCAAGAACACTTTTAATTAGCCAACCACATTTTGGTCTAGCATGTTGTGTAAATCTAGGATAGGCAGGAAGGGTTTATAATTCAGTGAGAATAGAATAGAATAGAATAGAATAGAATAGAATAGAATAGAATAGAATAGAATAGAATTCTTTTATTGGTCAAATGTGATTGAACACACAAGGAATTTGTCTTGGTGCAAATGCTCTCTGTATATATAAAAGAAAAGATGCATCAATTTATAAACCCAGGATCATGTACCACAAATAACAGAGCTCTGTCTACGATGGTTCTGAAGCTCTGACGGGATTAGGAGGGTGAACTTTGGAAATCCTTCTGCTAAATTCTTTAACTCACCCGAGAGCCTTTACCTGAAAGAGGGGGGAAAACTGTGTACACAATGAGCCTAATCATTATATGATTTGTTTGCTCTTGATTTGGCACACTATGTGCACCCACCCATAGTAGATTGTAAAATATAGTTTATTAAGCAAAGCATCAGCTGCACAAAGTGCTAACTCAGTCACAAAGAAGAAACCTACATAGTTTGTATGTATGGATTATACACAAAATAGTACTTTTAAGAAACTGGCTGACATACCTTTATTGTATCCAATGGATAACTTACTGCAGCACTAACACCACCTGAAACAGGTAATTGTATGTGAATTTCTTTGGGAAGTGTTATAATTAAATATATTCAAGCTCATAAATATTAGTGCTTAATAAATAGGAAAAAATAGTGGGAAAGCAGACATCTTGTAGTGGTTCATTCAGCAAATTCAAATATTAAAAAAAATACAAAAAGATCCCACAATCAAGAATTTCAGTGTAAAATGTTCTTATTCCATTCCCAGTTTTTTCTTGTCTGGATTTTGTAAAGCTGTTTCCTCTTTAGCTGTTTTTCCTTTGCTTTTATTTAGCAGGATTTTTTTTCTCCTTTTGATGCAGTGTTCTATGATTAGACAGTCTCAGAAAAACATTGTCAGAGAAATAAAAATATATCCAAGTTTTTAGATGTGACTCTTGATTCTGCATGTTGATTATATGTGTTCTGTAAATATTTAGCATATGAAGAAATGTTAAATAACCAGGTCTTCTTTTAAAACATTTCTCCAGGAAATTAATATTCTACATCCACAATGAAGAGTGCAGAATACTCTGCACCCACAACTTTCCTAATTCAATTACTGGGATTAAAATATATTAAAGAGAGTTGATGGTTATTGCCTTTGATCAACATCAGCCAGAATGGCCAATGGTCAGGCTGATGAGAACTACAGTCCAACAACTACTGGATGGCCACAGAACCTTCTGCTTAGAGCTCAAGCAAGCTAATTCACTTCTCTAGCTTAGGTACATTTCCATTTTTTCCCATTTGATACTTAATGTACCATGCCTTCTAGCAACTATTGAGCCTACTCAATTCCTATTGGCTTATTCTGGGGGTGTAGGTGTTTGTGGTTTGTGGTTGATGTTCTCCTTTGACATACCTAGGAATTTGATGAATCATGGGAATATTTTCCCCTTGCTATATACTGTGTTCTCTCCAAGGAGTACCAAGTCTGCTAATGGAAAAAGTAATAGAAGACAACCGAAGCATAAACTATAAATGAAAGAAGGCAGAAAATGAAAAAATAAGAAAAAATCATGCTGGTCTTGATAAAATTGTTATATCAATTGACCTTTTCTAGTATGCCCTGAATGACAGTAATTACATAGCTTTTAAACAGTCTCAAGAGATTTCCATACTCCAAATATAGCCACCATCAGACACTTCTATGGCCCAAAATAGTCTCCGGGTCTGAAAAATTTGAGCTGCTGCCACAACTGAAGAAGAAAAACAAACAAGTCATACAATCCATGAGTGAATTTTCCATTAACAGTTTAAGTAGGTGTATACTATGAAAAATATTGTAGTGGTTGAAGTATTGGTTGTGGACTAGGAAGAGTTCGGTCTTTATCTCCATTCAACTACTGTAAACATATTGAGAAAGGTCAGGTCAAGAAAGGATGTGCCTTAATGACATAAAGTAGCATATCAAAATCTTGAAGGCCTATTCAACTTTTTCTATGCCCTATCTTATATGAAACAAAATGAAAGCAGAAATATTTTGTGTTTCTTTTTCACATTTTCCTCTTTCTCGGGACTCTGTAACCTTTTCTGCAATTCCCCCCTTATTGTTTCATTCATTTTGTCCCTGACCACTACATCCTTCACAATTGTAGGCTTATTGGATAATTTATCACTGTTTTTCACCCAACCTGCCTTATTCACCTATGGTAGGCATAGAATTAGAGGAAATTTCTTGTGTACATTCTCATGGAAAAAGTTGAGATATAAATAAAATGAGGCTTTAGGACAGATGCTTATCATAATATCTTAGGTACAGGTGAAACTCAAAAAAGTAGAATATTGTGCAAAAGTTCATTTATTTCAGTAACGCAACTTAAAAGGTGAAACTAATATATGAGATAGACTCATTACATGCAAAGCAAGATAGTTCAAGCCATGATTTATCATAATTGTGATGATTATGGCTTACAGCTCATGAAAACCCCAAATCCACAATCTCAGAAAATTAGAATATTACATGCAATCAATAAAACAAGGATTGTACATACAACAATATCAGACCTCTGAAAAGTATAAGCATGCATATGTATTCAGTACTTGGTTTGGGCCCCTTTTGCAGCGATTACTGCCTTAATGCGGCGTGGCATGGAAGCTATCAGCCTGTGGCACTGCTGAGGTGTTATGGAAGACCAGGATGCTTCAACAGCGGCCTTCAGCTCTTCTGCATTGTTCGGTCTCATGTCTCTCATCTTTCTCTTGGCAATGCCCCATAGATTCTCTATGGGGTTCAGGTCAGGCAAGTTTGCAGGCCAATCAAGCACAGTAATCCCACGGTCATTGAACCAGGTTTTGGTACTTTTGGCAGTGTGGACAGGTGCCAAGTCCTGCTGGAAAATGAAGTCAGCATCTCCATAAAGCTCGTCTGCGGAAGGAAACATGAAGTGCTCCAAAATCTCCTGGTAGATGGCTGCATTGACCCTGGACTTAATGAAGCACAGTGGACCAACACCAGCAGATGACATGGCTCCCCAAATCAACACAGACTGTGGAAACTTCACACTGGACTTCAAGCATCTTGCAGTGTGTAACTCTCCATTCTTCCTCCAGACTCTGGGTCGTTGGTTTCCAAATGAGATGCAAAAGTTGCTCTCATCAGAAAAGAGGACTTTGGACCACTGAGCAACAGACCAGTTCTGTTTTTCTTTAGCCCAGGCAAGACGCTTCTGATATTGTTTGTTGTTCAGGAGCGGCTTGACAAGAGGAATATGACATTTGAAGCCCATGTCCAGGATCTGTCTGTGTGTGGTGGCTCTTGATGCACTGACTCCAGCTTCAGTCCACTCCTTGTGAAAGTCCCCAACACTTTTGGATGGCCTTTTCCTGACAATCCTCTCCAGGCTGCGGTCATCCCTGCTGCTTATGCACCTTTTTCTTCCACACTTTTCCCTTCCACATCACTTTCTATTAATGTACTTCGATACAGCACTTTCGGAACATCCAACTTCTTTTGCAATTACCTTTTGAGGTTTTCCCTCCTTATGGAGGGTGTCAGTGATGGTTTTCTGCACAACTGTCAGGTCAGCAGTTTTTCTCATGATTGTGATTCGTACAGAACCAGACTGAGAGACCATTTAAAGGCTCAGGAACCTTTTGCAGGTGTTATGGCTTAATTAGCTGATTACCTTTTCACAGAATTCTAATTTTCTGAGATTGTGGATTTGGGGTTTTCATGAGCTGTAATCCATAATCATCTCAATTATGACAAATCAAGGCTTGAACTATCTTGCTTTGCATGTAATGAGTCTATCTCATATATTAGTTTTACCTTTTAAGTTGCATTACTGACATAAATGAACTTTTGCATGATATTCTAATTTTTCAAGTTTCACCAGTACATGCAACAAGAAACCAAATTCATCATACAGAGAAAAAATACATTCTGAATCTAATCTTTTCAGTTGTCTTTTTTATATACATGGTTTTAATTCAGGGCATTCAATGCCAGGTGGAGTATTCCTTATACTGTAATTTTTACAGTCATCTGTTCAATGTTTTCTGCTTGAAGAGCTACTCAATCCATGTCTGGCTTCAGCTAAAGAATCATTAGAACAAAGAACATGAATTGTCCATCCAAATTTAGCAAGTGGATAGTAGATTAGTAGAAACAAAAGTTTAGAGGTTATTTAGTATATTTCTAGTTAAGGCATTGTACTATTTTCCACATGTCTAAACTGAGGATTAACACGAACCAAAGATTCCTATCAAAGATTCCTTGTTCATGAGTATGTGGGAACAGAAGGGGGAAGGGTGCCAAATGATAAATATGACTGTGTAATTGTGCAAATGCTGTGACCTACAAACTTGCATCAGACATTGGGATACAAGTACATAAAGGCAGCATTTGTGTGATGATGTGCACATGTCTTCATTTTTGCAATACTGTGGTTTGCTATAGACATTACTGTTCCTGTTTTTTTAAAAAAAAAACATATGTCCTTCCAAATGTAATTTTAGAAAGAAACCCAGCCCACAACTTTATTTTCACTCTGCCAAAGCTCAGGATTTCCATAATATTCCTTCTTTTCAGAATAAGTACTTCAGTGATGTTTCTAGTTGTTATATTTTTTGCTAGGCCTCCATCTATCCACAGTGATAACATACTTTCATCTTCTTGTTTCTATCTGTCAAGCAAGATGCATTCATGGAAATAGTTCAAATCCTCAGCTGTTCCCAGAGTATATGTTTACTAGCACTTTCCTTGACTAACTGAAAATGAGTGACTTGATACTAGCCTCTCCCAGCTGGTCACCATTTTGGAAATATATCTGATTAAAGGTTTCACAGAAATTGAGTGAATAGACTGGGAAAGAAATGGAAGAGGTGAGGTTCCTCTTTCCTGTAATCCTTTGGTAATGATGCTTGCAATATAGGACTAGAAACTGAAACCTGAACAGACTTCAACCTGTTAAAACAGATTGGTGGGGGTGAGGAGAGAGTTAGTCTTACAGTTTGCAGTTGCAACTTTCGTTCAAAGATTTAGGAGTGTGTGTGGGGAAGTACAACAGGTAAGGAAATTTGTTAAACCAGCAATACATATCTAATTCTAGCCTATTCACACTTAAAGGGAATTCCTACTGTCAAATAATCAAAATGTGACATTTAATAGACCAGATAAACAGGTTATTTGAGGATCAAAATAACTGTCCCTCAACCACATAACCTGAACAGTTAAAATAACAAACACTGATATTTCACAGTGTTTTGAAGGATCTCTAGCCTGAATTAATAATTACATAAATCAAGCTGCACAGGATAGGTTCTTGCACATTCTCTCATTTCCCTAATTATATAATTTCTCAATAGGAAAAAATGTATTCCTGAATATGATTATCGTAATTTATTCTGACTGGTTTTCTACTTCCAAGAACTCAAGGTGTTCTTGTTTTTTAACCAGGCACATATTCATCCTGACCTCCCTTAAGTGTGCTTTTTAATTCTTGATCAACTTCAAACAAGAGCGGCTTAATACAAGTAGTCCTCATTTAACAACCACAATTGGGATCTGCTA